GAAAAAACATGATTGAAAGTTTTATGACTATCTGGACTATGTCTGTCTCCAGCAACAGTTTGTTATAGAGAGACTTCTGGGTTTTTTTCTCAGAATTCTTGTAGTTATTGAATGAAAATAAACTACAACTTACTGTTTTTGGAATTCTCTCTGTTTGGTTTTAAGATGCATCAGCCTTTCCTTCTTGTCTGAAAACCTGGAAGAGATTAAATGCTTTTATTGCCATTTTGCACAACACAGCACTGTAAGTTGTCTGAAATGATAAAAAAGGGCTGAAGCTTGTGGGATTCTCCAAACCTCAACTATCTGTCTTCATCTTGGGAACTAATGGCTAAATGTACAAAACTCTTGCAGGATTCTAGAACATGTGTCTCACAGGAATTGCAACAGAACTTCCAAGCTAAAGAGACATCAGAGTGTTGCAGTATCAAACTTATAAGCAAATTACTTGCTATTTCTAGATTTATAGCTTAGCAGTGTCAGTATTTTGTATATCACAAAAAGCAGAGTACTTTCAAAACCTTTAGTCACTGCAGAAACTAATAGTACTATCTGAGATAGTCCATGACCCAAATGTGCTTCAGCTCTGCTTTGCTGAGGTATGGGAACTGCAACAAACAGATCAGAAGAAATTTTAAGCACTCATCATCCTGTGTTTTCACCCTCTGAATATGCAGCAGTCACTTACTGCCCTCCTCCATGTCCCAAAATGTCTTGAGAAATACATTTAAAGAAGGTATGAATGATGCAGACTGAGAAAAGACAATAAAGCATGAAGTGACAAAGCTAACAGTTAAGAGCAACAGCAAGAGGCAGCCAAGAGATTTCAACAGCAAGAAATAGCACATGTGCTCTGTGTTCTGCCAGCATGTGGCTTCCCAGCTCCCCTTTGTGCTTGGGATGTTACAGCACTGTCCTGATCTGTGCCTAAAAATGTGTCTTGGGTTAAGTCCAGCTACAAAACCAAATTCGTTATATTTCTCTCTGCAACACATAGAACTGACAGCTTCATCCTAACAGAAGTCTAATATTTGTGGCTGCTCCATCCCTGAAGTGTTCCAGGCCAGGTTGGATGGGGCTTGGAGCAGCCTGGGCTGGTGGAAGGTGTCCCTGCCCATGGCAGGGGGTGGAACGAGATCATCTTTAAGGTCCCTTCCAACTCAAACCATTTCATGATTCCATGATTTTAGCTACAACCCATCAAGTTCTTTATTTCAGGGATGTCTAACTTTTATTTAGAGAGAAAAGTACACTAAGCCTTGACAGGATGGCACCTTGGGCTTCCCTCTCTGCTCAATTCTGAGTCTAATTTCAGGTATAACTTTAAAATGCTTCACTTTTTCCCTTCAAGCATTGAAATTGAAAGCTTCGTGATTATCTTTGTGTACAGAGAGTGTGTAATAATCCTTCCAGATGACATGAGCATTAGAGCAACAACAAAACTATTGGCTGCTGCTTCTGTAGTGAAGCAAAAATATCTGTCTTCCTTCCAAAACAAACCAAAACCAAATGCAGGTGCTTGGCATAAGAGCCAGGGGCCACACGTGAGCCGGAGGAATGTGGTGCAACAGGAGCCTGAGTGCTCACCCCAGCACGTTCCTTCTTCCTGTGAGTCCTCACCCAGGAGTCATCGTGGGAATGACAAAAGGCACTGTCTGAGGCTCCTGTTTACCACAGAGCAATGAACACCTCTGTACCCCAACCTCTGGCTGCCACCAGAAGCGTTTTGGCCCAGCCACACACTGCTCAGCTGTCACGGAGAGAGAGAGAGAGCACTGACCTAACCTGGCAGGTCTTGTTTTCAGGGCTGCACTCATGGGCACAGAGTCTGACTGATCCAAATTACCCAAATCATGGCCATCACATCAGCAAAAAGTTGAATGATCTGTCAAGAATCCGGGGCTAAATTAAGTCCTTGCTGTGGAGGGCAGACAGAAGTATTTGTGAAAGCCTGGAAAAGCTGCAGCTCACCACGCACTTCAGCAGCTATGTCAAACAGCTCCTACCAATTCTCCAGCAGGTTCCTCCTAAGCAAACATTTCCATTTCTTTATATAGCTCTGATTTTAATTGCACTGCATCGTGCAACTCCTTTTGCTTTATATATCTTTAGCCTTTCCATTTGGCAAAGAAACAAAAACTTGGGATGAACTATTATAGGAACTCCCATAAAATGTAAACTGAGAGGAAAGAACATCTCGAATTACCCATTAAATGTTTCTCTTTCCTCAAGTCTTATCACATCAAGCTGAGATTTTCTAGGGTTACCTGGCTTAATTCCACATGTTCATCATTAGAGAGAAGCAACCAGAAAGAGATTTCCTAATCTATAGGAGCTGATAAATACTGCAGGAGTTGAGGGCAGCAATAGGCACCTCCATTACTGTACATTTTCACTACAATAAAACTCCTTTCCTGTAAAAAGTCACTATTCCTAATCATAACCCACAGCTCAGGGAAGTCAAACAGGCTCAGACATCACAACTACATTGTCTTTGGCTTTTACCATCTGCAGACACATAAAGCAAAGCAATTCAGCAGGTCTGTGGAATACACTCTGGGAATTTATGCTTATGACAGGCTGGAGAACACCCCCAGGAGGAAGAAGAGTCTCCAAGCTGAAACCAACATCAAGATGCCAGTTTGGGCTTTTTGAATATACAACACATTACTAATGAAAAGAAGAATGTCAGTGATTATTTTACTGGAGGGCTTCCGGACTGCTCATCCTTAATTGGAGCTCTCCTTCAATAATTAATCCTAACAGCTCCTCAGTCTCTCCCCCACACAGACACAGGGTGGGATTTCTGCCAGACAAGATGAAAAACTTCAGTTTTACTGTAGCTTTTCTAGCAAATTAGCACACAAAATAGTCCAGGGAAATCTGAAATCATTCATACTGTTAGAACACGGAATCATTTGTCTTTTTATAAAGGATAAATCACAAGAAGAAGCTAAAAATAAACCACTGTTTGATACAAGGAGTCACACTTGGTTTCTTTACTTCACACTAGAAAGAGAATGATCCTTTTCCCACTCAGTAACACTTCAAAAAGACAAATGGGAGGCCCAAGTGTCCCCATACACTTCCACATTCTGAATTTCTCACACTGAGCCAACCAGCAAAGCCCTTGTGGTGACCCTGTCAGCCTCCTCCAGCACCAGCTGGTCTAAAATTAACCCAGGTACCACTAGAAGACATAAAATAAATAATTATAGCTGTAAACACAACCAGTGATCTGCACCTGTCCCTGCATGGCTTTGCCATGGTGCTTGGTCACCATTTAAAAGTCTCTCCCTCTCTCAGTGCTCAGGTCACAAGAAACTCAGAGACACCTACTTGCTGCTAAAGGAAACAAAACTGACCTCTGAAGTGACAGGCTCTGCATCACTCTTAACTCACTGCAAGACTTAATTAGAGAACACAGACCAAATATTTCAGGCACAGTTTAAAAAATGATCCCATTATCTCCAAAACCCAAGAGAAAACCCAAGTTTTACAGAGCTTCACCCTACATCAAGAGTTCCACCTGCCATCAAACATGTTTAGGTTGTTCGCGTTGTGTTTTTCATATAGGTGTGTTGTTCCTTTAAGTCATTAAACAGATTTGCCATTTTTAATGAACTGCACAACTGCAATTCATTCATGGAAAGCTCTGAGCAGCAGAAGCAGCAAAGCCTGGGGAAACTGAGCATATAGGGAGACCCCAGGATAATAAACCAGTGATCCCCAAATGGAACTATGATGTCCAGGCAGAATGGGGGAAAAAGACATAAAAATTAAAAAGGGACTTAATTTCTGCAGGTAAGAAGCACAGCATAAACAGCCAGAAGACTTTTCAGCCACAGAGAAATATGGTAGTGAAAGCATCTCAGGAGGATGCAGGGAAAACTGTCAGACAGAAAAGCTGATCCTGTCTCATGTGAGAAGATATGAGGAGGATAAAGAAGTTTTTTTTCTTCCAACAAGCTGTTGCTTCTGGTACTTTGGCTAAAGCTCCTTCTTTATGGCTTCATTTTTCTGATGGGTAGAGACTTCTCAAGCCTTGGTTAATACAGAACAGTGGTTCAGCTCTAATGAAGGCCACAGTTGAATTTCTATAATGTTTAGCCAAAACCTTGAGGTTACAAAAGAGGCAGGAAAAAAAAAAAACCACTTGGTTTGTGTTCCAAGCTCCAAATCCAATTTTTTCATGTAAGCTGCAGATAATAACCTGAGCAATCTCACTCAGACACAAGTTTTCCATCTATTTCAGAAAGGCTAAATAAGAGTTTGTGATTCTATAACACAGTTTTTTACATAAAAAGAGAGAAAGCTCATCCAGTGGCAAACTTGGGTCTCAGTTCTGGAAGTTGATTCATGCTGGCTGACACCCTTTGCCCACTTCCATGCACGTTAATGGGAGAAAGACACCCCTGTCCCCTTATTCCTCAGGACACAAGGAGCCTTTAGTGTGAGAACCTGCCCACAGCACACTCTGCTTACCACCTCCCCAAAATAGCTCCAGGAATCACTCTCAAACAGCTGCTAAAGAAGCCACAAGTGAAGGAGACCAAGAACATGTTGTCAGCCAAGAATCAGAGCTATTCCAGGGATAAAATTGGAAGAGTTTTTAAGAATCTGGGATGGACATGGTGTGAATGACAGTTGTGGAGGAGCCATCTGAGTCACAGAGTATTTGTTTATGGGCTAACACTGATCCAGCTGCTCCCATGGAGAGCCAATGCTCCAAACAGAGCAGGAATAACCCAAGTGGAGCATTCTGTGTACTCCTAAAAGAGGCCCATGGTTAGGACAATTTATGTAGGCACAAAAATGTTTATTTTCTTACACACCTTTTTTGTTTAATGACTTAGAAAACTACTGTTTTAAGGTGTGTTGCCAAAAATGGGCAGCACATTTCATATAACTTACTACACGAGGCTCTTTTTGCCCTGAACTGTCTGGAGCTTCTATAGCTACAGGGGCAAAGCTACTGAGAGCTGCACCTAAGCGAAAGCCACAGTGATTTAAATAACAACACATGGTTTAAGGTGTGTGGCCAAAAGCAGATAGCACATTTCAAATAACTTCATGCACGAGGCTCTTTTCACCCTGAACTACCTGGATCTTCTGTGGCCACATCATCGCGGGCACAGCTAATGAGAGCTGCACCTAAGTTAAACTCACGGTGATTTATTATCGATAATTATTATC